TGTGACCTGAGCAAGGGTGTTATATCCCACCTTAATCCTCTTTAACCACAGGCAGAGATTATAACACATAGAAAAATCACAAAATGGAGGACATCCACCCAATACTGGGAATCATGGCCTAACCAAGTTGACACATATTTTGGGGGGACACAATTCAATCCATGACAGAGCCAAAATATTTTCATTGACCTACTGAAGTATTTGTATATAATGTATAGTTGATTACTGCATTTACTGAAGAACTAGAAGATCTTCAGTAAACTCTTTATCATTATTAAATTATTATTAAATAAATGATTATATTAATAGTGCCTTATCTCAAATATTTTAACACACAATTCTGGAAGTACTTCATCTTTCTGAACAATACTAGGTCCTTGTACAAGGACATAATAACAACGGTTAGACACTAATTTTCCTGAGCTGTTCCATATTAAAGTGACCTATTTTTCTTCAAAAAAAAAAATCTATTTTAATATGTATTAAAAATGTGTTTAGGAATGCTTTCATCTCAGGAGAATGTCCATTCTTAACCCTTTGCCATCAGGTTGATTCCGACTTTTAGAGATTCCATGCCTTACAGAGTAGAACTGAGCTCCATAGGGTTTTTTTGGCTGTAATCTTTCTGGAAGCAGATTGCCAGGACTTTCCACAGTGCTGCTGTGTGGGTTCGAACTGCCAACCTTTTGGTTAGTTGTCAGGTGCAAACTGCTTGTGCCTCCCAGGGACCCATGTTTATTCTTAGTACATTTCAGATCAGTAACGTTAAGTTTGAAATAATGAGCTCTGGAAATTTCATTTGAGAGAAGCTGATTAGGTTTGGTTGATGACTTTAAAAGTATTTGTTTTGAAATGTTGATGGAATCCACACTTACAGTAATACCACCTTACATTTGTAGAGTGCTTTATTCTATTCAGGAGCCCTGCTGCAGTGGTTAAGAGCTGTGGTTGCTAACCAAAAGGTCAGCAGTTAGAATCTATCAGCTGCTCCTTGGAAACCCTGTGGGGCAGTTCTACTCTGTACTATAGGGTCACCATGAGTCGGAATCTACTCGACGGTATGGGTTATACTATTCAGATACAAAGAGTAATGGTTAGTTTCTATTAAAAAAAAATTTGAGCATGCACCATAAGGTACATATACTTAATCATAAACTATTTTGCTCTATAAACATATAGTATACATTATAAAACATAACAAAAAATTGGAAAGGAGATAAGAGGCAAAGACATTCTAATATTTTCCTCTGTGCTCCTTGAGGTGGGTTTACCCCATTTTAACAACTACTGTACTAGAAGATTTTGTGAAGAGTTCTTCAGAATTTACCTGTAGGTGGACTAAGCTGTGTGTGCAAGAAATGTATCTTAACCACTCTCTTCTTTTTGAAGCGCTCAGCTCAGTGGGCCTCTGTGGCTCTCAGTGTTCCTCTGACTGCTTTGAGCATTCCTCCTCCGTGTCTTCTGTGGACTCCACCTCTGTCTAGTCTTCATATTTTGGTGCTCTTGGCCTTCTGAACATTACCTTCCTTCTATCCTCTCTCCTGATGTGCTGTATACCAGAGTCATCAGTGTAACAACTTCTGAAAAGCAGCGATTTCTGATCTGCATCCCCAGATCTGACATCTCTTGAGCTAAAGACATTATTAATCCAGCTGCTTTTTGGAAGTGCCACCACCATCAAACTCTTTATGTTCTCCACTGAACTCCTTAATCTTCCTCCAAGCTGCGCCTCCTCCCCTTTTTCATTTGGTGACACCTTCATCACCCAGAGTTGAAAGCAGAAACTTTCCTTTTTGAAAGAAACCTGTAGGTCACCTCACCTTCTACATCTAGTCAGCTGCCAACTTTTTTCTGATTTTACATTCTAAACTACTTCATTTTCTCTATTAGCACCTCTTGACTCGAGCCCTCCATCTCTTCCCTGCACTATTGGTGTGGCCCCGAGTGGCTCTTCTGCATCTAGTGTGGCTCCTGTCCAGCCTGCCCACCACATGGCAGCCAGGAGCAGTTAATCTGAAGCACAAGTCTCACCATCATTTCCTTGCTAAAAATTCATCAGTGACTCCCCGTCACCTGCCCAGTGATGTCCACGTTCTTTATAATGCTGGTCAGTACCACTGCTGCCTGGCCCCTGTTCAGCTCCACAGCCCCATCCTCAGCCCTCCTTGCTTTTTGCTTCAGCCTCCAGTAACACTTACTGGCTCTATTCTCTTCCCCATTGTTTTAGTCATCTAGCGCTGCTATAACAGAAATACCACAAGTGGATGGCTTTAACAAAGAGAAAGTTATTCTGTCACAATCTAGTAGGCTACAAGTCCAAATTCAGGGCATCAGCTCTAGGGGAAGGCTTTCTGTCTGTGTCAGCTCTGGAGAAAGGTCTTCATGATGCATCAGTCTTCCCTTGGTCTGGGAGCTTCTCTATGAAGGAACCTCAGGTCCAAAGGATGCCCTCTGCTCCTGGCGTTGCTTTCTTGGTGGTATGAGGTCCCCATGTGTCTCTGCTCGCTTCTCTCTTTTATATCTCAAAAGAGATTGGCTTAAGACACTATCTAATCTTGTAGACATCATCAGTATAACTGCTGCTGATCCATCTTATTACATCATGGTGATAAGAGTTTACAACACATAAGGAAATCACATCAGATTACAAAATGGTACACAATCATACAATACTGGGAATCGTGATCCAGCCAAGTTGACAGATATTTTGGGGGGACACAATTCAATTCATGACACCCATGTGTTCTTTTTTTTTTTTTATTGTACTTTAGATGAAGGTTTACAGAACAAACTAGCTTCTCATTAAACAGTTTGTACACATATTGTTTTACGACATTGGTTAACAACCCCATGACATGTCAACACTCTCGCTTTTCAGCCTTGGGTTCCCTATTACCAGTGTTCCTGTCCCCTCCTGCCTTCTAGTCCTTGTCCCTGGGCTGGTGTGCCCCTTTAGTCTAGTTTTGTCTTATAGGCCTGTCTCATCTTTGGATGAAGGGTGAACCTCAGGAGTGACTTCATTACTGAGCTAAAAGGGTGTCCGAGGGCCATACTCCTGGGGTTTCTCCAGTCTCTGTTGGGCCAGTAAGTCTAGTCTTTTTTTTGTGAGTTAGAATTTAGTTCTACATTTTTCTCCAGCTCTGTCCAGGACCCTCTATTGTGATGCCTGTCAGAGCAGTCAGTGGTGGTAGCCAGACACCATCTAGTTGTGCTGGATTCAGTCCGGTGAGAAAGATTATTCTTTAACACACACACAGACACACCCTGGTCTCATTAGGTTTGTAGGTGCAGCAAGAGTGTTAATTAACCATATAGCAACCTTGAGCTTGCTCTGGCACTCTAGAGCCACACAGTATTGAACAGCAACGGAGGTCACAAACCAACTTCTGTCCAGAAGTTTTCATCATAAGGGATCTCAAATTGATCTTTTAAAAGCCTCTGTTGTTTGCTATCCTGAGTATTGGAAACTAAGCCCAAGAAACTTTCTCCACCACATTTTAAACTGGAACTGCAGTAGTTATAAATGAGGGTAAATTCTTTTTTTATCAGGGTCTTCAAAATTCGCTAAAGTTCCTGGTCTGCCAGGAGGTGATCTTCCTTATCTTAAGACCAGGACCCTTCCAGGCTCGTTTTCCTGCTGGGACTTTGTAGACATGAGATCCATAAGTAGAGTCGACCTTGGTTCCTTAAAAGTGGCTTGTCATACCTTAATCAAGGAGAATTGTTCTCAAACATCTCTTCAGGTAAGAGCCTGGTTCCATAATTGATTCATTCAGTTATATCCTGGCTAAAGGGAGGACAGATTTCTATTGAACCTATGCAAATAACTATATTCCCATGAAAAGTACAGAGCCTCAGAACTTATATTTTTCTTATTTTTAAGTATTTGTGGGGTACTCTGCATTAGTGAGAGTGCTGTTCTTGCTGTGATCTCCGGTGGGTAGGTGGTCATCCTGTTTCCTATCAGAAGGTGGGAATCCCTTTGTAACATCTAGGTGGGAGTGACAGGAATAGGAGTAGTGTCAGTATCGTCAGGACCTAACTTCAGGGGGCATAATGCGAATCAAGATCCACCCAAGGCTGATTCCTCTGAGGTGGGGGTCAGACATACCTCCACTCTCCAACCTTGTGACCAGTTCTGACACCAGCCGTCCCTCCCGCATGCAGCACTGTCTGCTTCTCTTCTGGCTTTCATAATCCATTGCCATGGCCACAACAGAACTCAGAGACCGTGCTTACAGTTAAGTGGTTTATTTAGGAACAGGCTACAACTCAGGATCAGGAAGCATGTAGGCAAAGTTCCCTTCTTCAGTGCAGGACAGCTCTCTCAGCTCCTCTTGAGTGTGCAGGCCTCCTCTTGGCCCCTGAGGACAGGCTCCTCTTGGCCCTCTCGTCTGTCTGTCACGGCTGCTCTGCCATTGAGCCCCCTGTGGGCCTGTTGCCGTATTCAGTGTTACAGCCCTTGACCCATGTTACAGCTCTTTTAGGAGGCTCCTTGCTTCTTCTCTCTGCGTCTTCTCTCTTCTTTCTTACTTCTGCTTCTGTCCTGCTACTTCTCTTACTGCTTCTTTCTGTCTCGAAAACCTCTTTGGGTTGGCTGCTTAATTATGTAAACTCCTTGTCAGTTTTGAGACAGGGAATTCCCACCAGGGCCAGGAACCTTGCAAGGTACTTACCAGTCCCGGGGCAGGCCGCAGCCCAGGGCCAGGCAAAAAGCATCAAACCGTCCTTGTTTACAGCTTACCCGGGACATGTAACAAACGCTCTGGGGTAGAAAATTAGGGCAAAGTTAACTCCTCAGGATTTAGGGGAGAGACTTCTCAAGCTGTTTTTCGAAAGAACCAACACCAAAGGCCACATAAAGGAACTCATTTTGCCACACCCTGGTACCAGAGATCTTAATGTTTGTTAGAAAATATCTGATGTGTGTAGACTTTCTTAGGAATCTCATCTTTAGGATGAAATTGAAATTTGATTATCTTTTCCAGGTTCATATTGAGATCCACTGACTGCCTGCCTCTGACTGTGACCAAGGCATGTCCTCGAACCCCCAGCTTCGGAGAACACAAAGTATGAGGGATGGAAGAGGGGCCCTCTGCATCTGCCTCGCCAAAGCGGAGGGCGAGGGAGGAGCTGGCTCGGACAGACCGTTACATGGACTCAGTAAGAGAACCCAGGAGAGTGCTGACCTGTCAGACATACCGTCCTGGGTGAATCAATCTGTGCTCCATGTAAATGGAAGTTCACCAAATGAGGAGTTATCACTGGAAATGAAAAATCTTCTGAGGGAGGTCCCAGATTTGCAAGAATCAGTAAGAAGAAATTGCGCTTCAGCAGCGGCTCTGAGCAAGGCCGTGGCTCTGTCCTCTGCTCCCACAGAAGAGCAGGGTGTGAAAGTGCCCCGCGGTGTTGGCGAGGCACTAGTGAGGGACTGGCTGGGCAGAGGGCCAAGGGACACTGACTGCCACGGAGACTGGTGTCACAAAGGAGAGCTGTGGCTGTGCTCTGCGTGTCTCCAGCCTTCGGGACTACCATGTTATCACACACTGAATCTGCTGCCGTTAGGAATGGGAATTTTTGAGGATGAACCACCAAGTGCTTTTCTTGGGATCAGCTCTGAGCTTGAACTGCCTTCCCTGCACTCCATCCTTTCTGCAACCCTGTATGCATGTCCTGAAATCCTCTTGAATGATGAGACAAAAGACCTTTCCCTTGACTGTTTAAAGCCCATGCTTTCCGAGCAAATAGTAGAGTACAAGGAAATGCTCTCAGGTGTAAAAAGTATACCAGATGATCTGCAGGTGACACTGGGGTTACTGGCTCTCCGAGCTTTGGAATTTGCGAATTTGTTATACCATAGTTAAGGTACGTACAAGCAGAACAATAAAGATAGTGAGATTAATTTCCAGAGTTGTCTTAGAGTGATTTCCTTTGCGTTAAGTCTAGATGCAAACAGTGCAGCCATCAAGTTCCTGCTCTGCTTGTATGGCTAGACCAACTTAAAGTGAGTGGAATCCAAACTCATGAAAAGCTGGCCGATACAGAAGGACATTTTTGAGTATATTTTAAATTGTGCTTGAAGGACATTTGGAATTGGGAATCCGTTTCAGAAGAATATTGATAGATAATAAATATCAAATTAGAACCTTGTTTAACATAAAGTTCTTTCTAAATCTTCAGTACCTATTTTAAAGGGCTACTGGCCAGATAGTGCTCTTCAGCCTGCCTTTGATCATCTAACGGAAGTGGATGTTTGTAAAAGTCAGCCCTCTGTACCTGCTAAGAGCTTTGCTGAGTTCGTTGTAACTGTAACCGTTTCTCCATTTTGTAGAATTTTGTTCTGCAGGAGAATTTGATTTCTTTTTTCATACCTCTTTTTTCCACTTAAAACACAATTTATATGGAGGCCCTAAGGTGAATGTTGCAATATTAAATTTAACTTTAGAATAATCCTTTCTCAAGTTAGAAATCCTAGTAGTGTTATTTTAAATAAAAATGAGCTTGAAAATATTTGATGTGGCTCAGTTTACAGAGAGGCAAATCAAGTATTTTCCATTCTTGAATGTTCCCAGTTTCTAGGGATTGAGGTATCTTTTACACTAAGGTTTTTCTGAAGTAACTCCTTTTGTTGTTAACTTTGATGAAGGTCATTTAAGAGTCATACTTGTGTGTAAGTTTTTAAGGCGTCCCAAAGTAAGACTTAAAACAACCATTTCTGGGATTATTGATTGCATATATCAGCTTATATAGTGTGCTGAATTACTGTGCTGTGTGCTATTTTAGTGTTTTGGAGAAATGAAAAATAAAACTCTTCTTCAGCATAATAAATACAAGTATTTTTTTATGTGTGTAGTCTTGGTTTTTCTGGTCTCTTTATTAATGCTGCCTTCTTGTTACTTAAAAATCTCTTAGCACCGAAGTAGGTCACTGATTTAGAAGACGGGAAGCAGAGGTTGAAAAACAAAATGTAAAGCTAGGTCAGAACTCAGCCGCTTCGGTTTCTTCACAGGATGTTATGAAATAGTGCATTGTGATCCTTTGGAATGGTGCTCAGCATCCAGGCTGAAATGATACCGCCCTAATTGAGCAAGTAAAACTCTAGCTAAAGGACACTCCGTGTGTGTCACCAATGGATTGCCAAATGAGATGGGGACATGTTTATTTTAAATGTTGTAAAAATGGGGACTGTTCGCTTGCATACTCCTTTTACTTCCTTTTTTTAAAAACAAAAAACAAAAACAACTAAGTCTACTTCGTTGGGATGGAACTTTCCATGACTCATCAACTGTTGTTATTTCTTTGTTTTGTAAATTGCAAGTATATAAATGTATTCAACCAATTGCAGAGAAAAGTACAGAATTCCCTATTGGCATCAAATGCTAAAGTAATAAATTTGAAATGTTTTCATGTGGTTGTATTAAAATAAGGTGTTTTTTCTAAAAGCAGCTTTGGGGTGTGAAATGCAAGTAAGAGTTGTAGTGTCAGAACCTGTCTAACGTCAGAGGAGATAATAACCAGGATCAGCCCCAAACTGATTCTCATGAGGGGAAGGTAAGACATACCTCCACCCTCCAACTTTTTACCAGTTCTGACACCAGCTGTCCTCCCCAGGCTACTCGGTGCTTCCCTGCTGGGTTTGATATGTTGCAGGGGTCACGCAGAACTCACAGACCATATTTAACGATTAAATGGTTTATTAAGGAAGCAGCGGGTACAACTTGGGATCAGGATCAGGAAGTACGGAGGCAAAGTCTGGAAGGCTCCCCTCCCCCAAGAGGAAATCACCTCCCTCCCTTGAGTGCAGAACAGCTTTCTCAGCTCTCAGCTGTGCACTTCTCTCAGCCCCCTGAGGACAGGCTCTTCTTGGCCCTGCTGCCTGTCACCACCAACTCTGCCTTTACAGCTCTTTTAGGAGGTTCCTTGCTGCCTCTGTTCTCTCCTTCTCTCTTCTTTCTTCCTTCTACTTCTTCCTGTCTCTAAAAAACCTTTGTGGGGTCAGCTGCATCTATACATAACTCTGTCAATTTCAAGGAATGGCCCTTCCCAGCAGGGCTACAAAGTAGCCAATCCCCTCTCAGATACTTCATTTGCCTCGTAGGCTATAGACACTTCATTTGCATAGTCTGTTGACCAATCCCTGCAAAGTGCATATCAATCACAGGACAGGCTGCAGCCTAGGGCCAGACAAAAAGTAGCAAACCATCAGGATGTTTACAGCTTACCCAGGAAATGTCAATCAACCTGGACAAAACTAACAAACCCTCTAGGGTGGAAAACTAGGATAAAGGTTACTCATAAGGGCTTGAGGGGAAAATCTCTTCAAGCTGTTTTTCCAAAGAACCAAGGCAAAAAGATACATAAAAAAACTCACTTCACTACAGTAATTTTTTTCTTCACGTGAATGTTTTTATACACATATACTTAGCTGCTTGTGTTTTCCTTTGGTGCTTAGCTGTGTACAGGTGCTGTCTGAAGATTTGCTCTCCTGTTGAAAGTTCTGGGGATAGCTTCACCTGCAGCTCAGGAGCAAGAGGTGACAGCCCAGAAGACACATGATAAATGCTCCCTGTAAAGCTTCATGACTTTACAGAATTAAGGCCTTCTGTGAACACTTTTATTCTTGAGGCAGTTACTACAGAAAAGAGATACTCTTTTGGATAAACTAAGCTTCCATGATTGGGTTATAAAAGGGATCACTCCTTTGAAATACTTCAGATCGTATGGAGCAGTACTATGTAACATGTGGGGTCGCCATGAGTTGGAATCAGCTCGCTGGCAACAAGATTTATAATTTGAGCAATAAAAACTAAGGGAAGCTTGTTTTAAAAGAACTGATACTTAAATTTATATGCTTTTTTTTTTTCTTTATGGATTCTGCCTGTGAAAGGCTTTTAAGGGTTAAACACCATCATTTTAAGTTTAGAAACACAATTTCCTTTTTTATTTTAAAACTAGAATAAATGGTGAGGTCTTGAAGCAATTATGAAGTTGCAAAGCTCTAGAGAGTAAAAAATAAACTTGTACTTAAATAGATCATTCTTATATGACTACTGATTTTATAAATAAGAAAGAAATGTATTTTAGAACTTAGTATAAATCTCTGTGTATTCTAAAATTCACAGATCATTTACTATACTGTGAGTTCACACAGAATCAGAAATGTGCTATAGAATTCTCTCTACAGTTTCTTATGAGATAATTTTCAGATTCTCCTTTTTAAACCTTCTGAGCAGAGGAAGCAGAATTATGGGATCTCTGGAACAGTACAGGAATACCTTGGAGATATTGCTGGTTTGGTTCCAGGCCACCACAGTAAAGCGAGTCACACAAATTGTTTGGTTTCCCAGGGCATATAAAAATTATGTTTATACTGTAGTCTATTAAGTATGCAATAGCATTATGTCTAAATAAACAATGTACATACCTTAATTTAAAAATACTTTATTGCTAAAAATGCTAACCATCATCTGAGCCTTTAGTAAGTTGTGATCTTTTTGCTGGTGGAGGGTCTTGTCTCGATGTCGATGGCTGCTAACTGATCAGGTTGGTGGTTGCTGAAGGTTGAGTGGCAGTGGCAGTTTCTTAAAATAAGACAACAATGAAGTTTGTTACATCGATTGACTCTTCCTTTCACGAAAGATTTCTCTGTAGCATGCAATGCTGTTTGATAGCATTTTATGCACAGTGGAACTTCTTTCAAAACTGGAGTCAATCCTCTCAAACTCTGCCACTGCTTTAGCAGCTAAAGTTTATGTGATATTCTAAATCCCTCATTGTCATTTTAACATTGTTCACAGCATCTTCACCAGGAGTCGATTCCATCTCAAGAAACCACTTTCTTTTACTTATCCATAAGAACCATCTGGAAACCGTGGTGGCGTACTGGTTAAGTGCTATGGCTGCTAACCAAAAGGTCAGCAGTTCGAATCCACCAGGCACTCTTTGGAAACTCTATGGTGCAGTTCTACTCTGTCCTATAGGGTGACTATGAGTCGGAATCGACTCAATGACAATGGGTTTGATTTGGGTTTTTTAAGAAGCACTAAGCAACTCCTCATCCACTGAAGTTTTATCATGAGATTGCAGCAATTCAGTCACATCTTCGGGCTCCACTTCTAGTTCTCTTGCTATTTCCATTACGTTTGCAGTTACTTCCTCCACTGAAGTCTTAAACCCCTCAAAGTCATCCATGAGGGTTGGAATCATCTTCTTCCAAACTTCTGTTGATGTTGGTATTTTGGCCTTCTCCAGTGAATCACGAATGTTCTTAATGGCATCTAGAATGGTGAATCTTTTCCAGAAGGTTTTCACTTTACACAGACCCATCAGAGGACTCACTATCTATGGTAGCCTTATGAAGTGTATTTCTTAAATAGTAAGACTTGAAAGTCAAAATTACTCTTTGATTCATGGGCTGCAGAGTGGATGTTGTGTTAGAAGGCATGAAAACAACATTTATCTCCTTGTACATCTCCATCAGAGCTCTTGGGTAACCAGGTGCATTATCAATGAGCAGTAATATTTTTTGTTTGTTTTTAGTGAAAATTTTTTTATTGTTGTAGTTTAAATGAAATTTACATTTCAAGTTAGTCTCCCATACAAAAATTTATAAATACATTGTTATGTGACCCTAACTGCTTTCCCCATACTGTGACAGCACATTCCTCCTTTCCACCCCTGATTCCCCATGTCCATTCAACCAGCTTCTAACCCTCTCTGCCTTTCCATCTCATCTCTGGACAGAAGCTGCCCATTTAGTCTCTTGTATCTACTTGAGCTAAGAGGCACACTCCTCACGAGTATCACTTTATGTCCCACAGTCCAGTCCAATCCCTATCTGAAGAGTTGGCCTCGGAAATTGTTTTAGTTCTGGGCTGATAGAGAATCTGGGGGCCATGCTTTCCAGGGTTCCTCCAGTCTTAGACCATTCAGTCTGGTCTTCTTACTAGAATTTGAGTTCTGCACCTCACCTTTCTCCTGCTTTATCAAGGACTCTCTGTTGTGTTCCCTGTCAGGGGGGTCATTGGTGGTAGCTGGGCACCATTTAGTTCTTCTGGTCTCAGGCTGATGAAGTCTCTGGTTTATGTGGCCCTTTCTGTCTCTTGGGCTAATACTTTCCTTGTGTCTTTGGTGTTCTTCATTCTCCTGTACTCCAGGTGGTTGGGACCAACTGATGCATCTGAGATGGCTGCTTGCAAGCTTTTAAGACCCCAGATGCCACTCACCAAAGTAGGATGCAGAGCATTTTCTTAATAAGCTTTGTTAATGAGCAGTAATATTTTGAAAGGAATCTTTTCTGAGCAGTAGTTCTCAACAGTGGGCTTAAAATATTCAGTAAACCATGTTGTAAACAGATGTGCTGTCATCCAGGCTTTGTTGTTCCATTTATAGAGCACAGGCAGAGTGAATTTAGCATAATTCTTAAGGGCCCTAGGATTTTCAGAATGATAAATGAGTATTGACTTCAACTTAAAGTCACCAGCTGCATTAGCCCCTAACAGGTGTCTGCCTGTCCTTTGAAGCTTTGAAGCCTTGACACCAGGCCTTGACTTCTCTGTGGCTATGAAAGTACTAGATGGCATCTTCTTCCAATATAAGGCTGTTTAGTCTACACTGCAAATCTGTTGTTCAGTGTAGCCACCTTCATCAGTTATCTTAGATCTTCTGGATAACTTGCTGCAGCTTCTCCACCAGCACTTGCTGCTTCACCTTGCACTTTTATCTTATGGAGATGGCTTCTTTCCTTAAACATCATGAACCAACCTCTGCTAGCTTCAAACTTTTCTTCTGCAGCTTCCTCACCTCTCTCAGCCTTCACAGTATTGAAGAGTATCTTAGATATCTAGTGCTGCTATAACAGAAATTCCACAAGTGGATAGCTTTAACAAACAAATTTATTCTCGCACAGTCTAGGAGGCTAAAAGTCCTAATTCACGGTGCCAACTCCGGGGGAAGGCTTTCTTTGTCAGGTCTGGAGGAAGATCCTTGTCATCAATCTTCCCCTGTCTAGGAGCTTCTCAGCCCAGGGACCCCGGGTCCAAAGTATGTGCTATTCTGCTGGCTTTTATTTCTTTGTGGTATGAGGTCTCCATGTCTCTCTGCTCGCTTCTCTTTTATATCTCAAAAGAGATTGATTTAAGACAAAACCTAATCTTGTAGATTGAGTCTTACCTCATTAACACAACTGCTGCTAATCCTGCCTCATTAACATCATAGAGGTAGCATTTACAACATAAAGGAAAATCACATCAGATAACAAGATGGTGGACAATCACACAATACTGGGAATCATGGCCTAGCTAAATTGACACGTATTTTAGGGGAATACAATTCAATCAATAATAAAGACAGCGTCTTGCTCTGGATTAGGCTGTGGCTTAAGGGAATGTTGTGGCTGGTTTGATCTTCTAACTAGACCACTGAAACTTTCTCCATATCAGCAATTAGGCTGTTTCACTTTTTTCGTGTGTTCACTGGGGTAGCACTTTTAATTTCCTTCAAGAACTTTTCCTTTGCATTCACAGCTTGGCTAACTGTTTGGCGCAAGAGGCCTAGCTTTTGGCCTGTCTTGGCTTTCGACATGCCTTCCTCACTAAGCTTAATCATTTATAGCTTTTGATTTAAAGTGAGAGACCTGCGACTCTTCCTTTCACTTGAACACTTAGAGGCCATTTTAGGGTTATTAACTGGCCTAATTTCAATATTGTTGTGTCTTAGGGAATAGGGAGGTCTGAGGAGAGGGACAGAGACACGGGAACAGCCAGTTGGTAGAGCAGTCAGAACACACACAACATTTATCGATTAAGTTAGCCGCCTTATATGGGTGCATTTTGTGGCTCCCCAAAACAATTACAATAGTAATATCAAAGATCATTGGATCACAGATCACCATAACAGATATAATAATAATGGAAAAATTTGAAATATTGCAAGAATTACCAAAATGTGACACAGAGACACAAAGTGAGCACATGCTGTTGGAAAAATGGCGCCGATAGACTTGCTTGACGCAAGGTTGCCACAAACCTTCAATTTGTAAAAAACACATCATCTGCAAAGCACAATAAACTGATGTTTGTATATGTGAACTCAGAGATGGAAACTACGCTCTTCAGCATTGACAGGGGGTGGAACCTTTAACATGAGATTCACACCTCAACCCAACCCAACCAAGCAACTATACATGCAGGGTAAGAGTTTGAAATTAGAAGCCTAAGTAAGATTTAATAAGATTGCAGCTCCTTCTTGACTCCTCTTTGCTTCCAGAGTGTTTTCTCTCTTATCCCAAACATTTTATTTTTATCAAAACCCGATTAACCAGATCAATTGAGAAGTATGTTTACTCGCAATTGCACTTCAAATTTTGCATACTAACTCCTCGAGCACTGTGTATGTGCACTACTAAAA